GCACTTCTTCAGGGCTCAGCTGAAGCACCAGGATCAGCGCCAAACTCCAGCTGGAGCCTGGTGCTGATCCTGGTGCTTCCACTGAGCCCTGACAGTCCCAAAGAAGTGCTGATCATCTGGAAAGCAGCACTGATCCTAGCGCTTCCACTGAGCCCTGACAGCCCTGCAGCTCCAGCCATCTCTCGTTCAGGCTTGTGCGGTGCTGCTTCAGGTCATTCCCCTCCCCCACTACCACTTTTCTAGGATGGTCACAAATCTTTGGAAAATAAGTTGACTCCCTCTTCTTTGTGGCAGCCCCTCAGATACTGGAATACTGCTATCATGTCACCCCTAGTCCTTCTTTTCTGTACACTAGCCATACCCAGTTCCTGCAACCATTCTTCCTATGGTTTGGTCTCCAGGCCTTTTATCATATTAGTTGCTTTTCTCTACACTTTTTCCAAAGTCTCAACATCTCAAAAAACAATGAGTCTTCCAAGAAAGAACTGTAAAGCTTATTCTTTTATCCTTTGCTAGTAACGAGTATCACACATTCTTTTCCCTGTCATCTTAGCCTTTCTTTGACCTTTTCAGTTGCTGGGACAAATGTGATTTGCTGCAGGGCAACTGACCGTGAACATGCTTGTAAAGTAGTTACAATCCTTAAATCTCTATCTGATCTGATGTTGATGAATTGCTTCCCAGTTCCAGACATTGGTGCATGATGTTACTATACAGCCAGTTGCAAACTCTGTTTTTCCATTCCCAGTACAAGCAGTCCTTGACTTATAATAATTCCTTTATTTTATTTTATTTTTAAAGTTTTTATTGGTTTTTTCCCCCATACATTCAGTAATAATTTTTCAACAAACGTGTTGTCTGAGTTTATATTCGCTAATACATATTTAACTCCTAATTCTTTATTCTTTCCTCTAGCCATCGATAAAATAAGTCCCAAGTTTGGTAATATCCTGTTTCTTCTTTTTCTTTCAGTCTCATAGTCAGTCTATCCATCTCTGCGCATTCTAGTATTTTTTTTAATTATTTCTTCATCTGATGGTATTCCTTCATTTTTTCCAATATTGTGCAAATATAATTCTTGCTACTGTTGTACCATGCAAAATCAAATATATGCTTTGTTTATCAGTCTTTTCTGGCATTATACCTAATAAAAAAAGTTCAGGTTTAAAATCTACATGTTCTTCCAACATCTTTTCTAGTCAAGCATGTATCTTTTTCCAATAACTCTTTACTTTGTCACATGTCCACCAAACATGATAATAAGTGCCTGACTTATGTTTACAATTCCAACATCTATCTGACATGTTTTTAAACATTTTTGGTAGTCTTGCTAGTAGCAAGTGTCATCTATAAAACGTTTTATATAAATTTTCTTTGTAGGAAGTTGACATTGTCAATTTGTAATTTCTTTTTGCCATAAATTTTGCCATTTTTCTAATTCTATATTGTACCCAAAATTTTTCACCCATCTTAACATTGTTTCTTTAACTTGTTTACTTTCCATTTTCAAAGTTAATAGAAAATTATACATTTTCTTAATTAGTTTCTCATCAGAAGTTAACAATGTCTTATCAAACACAGTTTGTTCCTTATAAAATCCATACAGTTTAACATCTTTATCATATCTAGCTTGCATTTGTACATGTGCTCACCATGATAAATTGATATCCTAATTTTCCATTTCTTGTTTAGATTTTAAATTCCCTTCAGAGTTTACAATACCTCTGTATGTCCAGATTTTTTTAAAGTCCACTAAATTTGAGTGTACAAATGCTTCCATTGTTGACAACCACCCTGGAATTTTCAAATATATTTTGCATTTTATTTTTTCCCATGTTGTTAATAACACATTTCTTATATCACAATTGTTCCTTCTTCATCTGAATAAATCACTTTAGAATGTATTGTCTCTTTAATATATATGGCAACACCTCTTTTTTTCTGTTGTGCTGATGCATGGTCAAATTTTGGGGTATTCCAACAGCTTGTAATATTGTCTTTTTATATGTATCTCTTGCAAACAAATTATATCTATATTTAATTTCTGTAGTTTTCTAAAAAAATATTTCTTTTTGATGGGGAGTTTAGTCCATTTATATTCACTGAAAAAAAATCCATTTTCTCTCTCCATTTCAATTATTTATATTTAGGTCTTGTAATCTTGTAATCCTCTGTCCTCTGGCAGTTCCTTCACTCTCTTGATCAAATTTCTCTTTCTGTTCTACTGTTTGTATAATTATTTCTTCAGTTGCTTCTTCTGTTTGTTTCTGATCTTTTCTCTCCTCTTGTCGATGATGCACTCCTTCATCTAAGAATGCTCGATTTCTTTCATCAAAATCTTCTGCTTTCCAAACTGAATCCAATCTATATCTTGTATTATTTCAGTTGATTAAAATCCCTTCCGGCATTAACCATCTGAAATTTATGCCTTTTGCAATCAGCTTTGTGAAATTTTTTTCATATCCTGTAGGTTTCTTTGAGTCAATCGGAATTCAATTTTTAAGAGTTCTTTTGTCTTCCTTAAAATCCTACCCCCTCACCGCTTTTAACTCTCTTCTCCCCTAGTCCTTTTGGAGTCTTTACTTCATAGCTCTTCCCAATCAGGGGAATCAACATTTCTAAGTACATAAGGAAAAGGAATAGAAGAACAGGCTTACCCAGTTTCAGCATGCTGTTGACAATCATCTGTTTAGCAGAGCACCGTGGCTTCTTGCTTTTCTTCTGGCTGGCCATGACTTGGGCTGTCTGGGCTTAGCAGGCAGCCTTTCCTCCATCCTTTTAGAAGGTTTCTTCAGTCCGTCTGGACTGACCACCATCTGGTCCGGACTCCTGAGGCATCCCTCTGTCTTTGTTGCCCCTCCAGGGTAACTTTCCAACTCCTTGGGGTCGCTGGGCAGAATGAAATTGGGCTAAGAATCCAGAGGCCCGGCTTCTTCCACCCGTCTCGTCAAACGCCAAACCGGAAGTCCTCTGACTTATAATAATTCCTGTTTGCAGGTGCAATGGTACTGAAAAAAGTGACTTACAATCAGTACTCACAGTGGAATAGTTGCAGCATCCTCATGGTCACATGATCAAAATTTGGATGCTTGGCAACTGACATGCATTTGCAATGGTTGCAATATCCAGGGATCATATGACCACCATTTGCAACCTTCCTAGGTGGCTTCCAACAAACAAAAGTCTACGGGGTAGTCCAGATTCATTTAACATGCATAATTTACTTAACAACTGCAGTGATTTGCTTAATTGTGGCAAACAGGGTCATAAAATTGGACACAACTCACTTAACAACTAAGCTTTGCTTAGTAACTGAAATTCTGGTTAGGGTGGTTGCAAGCCAAGGACTACTTATAGTGCTAAAATTGTTTTCCCGGTCCAAATTCAGCCTTAGAAAAAGAGTTGGGGGCAGATCCCTCTGTTTTAGCTCAAGAGTTGGGGTGATGGACTTAGGAAGGTGTTGCATTAGGAATGGGTAGATTAACGTTCAACCAATGGCTGGATCAGTTGCTTCCTTTAAGATGGTCGTTAAGTGAATCACTGCAACTGTTAAGTTGGTTGTTAAGTGAATCTGACTTCCCTATTGACTTTGCTTCTCACAAGGTCATAAAATGTGACCACATGACCCCAGGACAATGCAATCATCATAAATATGAGTCAGTTGCCAAGCATCTGAATTTTGATCACATGGCCAAGGAGATGCTGCAACGGTCGTAAGTGTGGAAAACAGTCATAAGTCACTTTTTTCAGTACCCTTCTAACTTTGAATGGTCACTAAATGAACTGTTGTAAGTCGAGGATTACTTGTACATGCTGCTCTGTGCTCCTGAACGAAAGGCCAGGTAGAAATCAAACAAGTAATTTGATTCAGTCCACATATTCTTGATAGCATTAAAAGAAGCACCTGTGAGCGTGCATGAGAGTGCATTGGCTCAGCCGTTCCATTCAATGCGTCAAATTAATTGGGATGTCCAGTTCAAAAGGGTGACTTGAGCGAATCAGAGCTTCATCCAGCCCTAGTAAATTGTTAGCATGTCGGTGTCTAAGATAATCTTTGACAACAAAAGACACTGTGGGCAAAATTGGGGCTCATGAGCATTAGCTTTTAGGAAGCTTGATATCGTAGAACAAAAGAATAAATTACTTAGAGTAGATTAAAAGAATGCAGCGGGGGGAGGACGGGGAGGAGCTGGGAGGGTAAATTTGGAATTTATAGGCACATCACAGCTAATCACAAAATATCTGATTTGACGGAGTCTGCCAGTTACAAAGCACAGTTGTATTTGAAAGCAAATGATCAACTCATCATCTCCTTAAGACCTTCAGGAATAAATTGTCCCATCCAGATTTAATTTTGTCTTTTCCTGGATGCTTGGATTGGAAATCTTTCAAAACAGAGCACTGAGCTCTAAGAAGTTTTCAGAGCGTTCTTGTGGCATCTCCATCAGCCCCAGAGGCATCCTCACAAACAGAGATACTGTTAAGAGCTGGCACATCATCCATTTCTTTTTTTAATTAGAAGAATGTAATTAGATTAATTAAAAGAATCTTAAGTAGAAGAATATTTAACAAGTTAGCAGGGAGCTTCTTATGCACCAAAGGAGGGGTCTGCAGGCATAACAATGCTCACAACCATCAGATTGTCTCTTGGTCATTTAAACTTCTATCATAATAGGTGTTCTATTGTGATGGCGCAGTGGTTAGAATGCAGTGTGCTAATTCTGCCCACTGCCAGGAGTTCAATCCTGACTGGCTCAAGGTTGACTTAGCCTTCCATCCTTCTGAGGTTGGTAAAATGACGACCTTGATTATTGAGGAAAATATGCTGACTCTGAACTGCTTAGAGAGGGCTGTAAAAACACTATGAAGAATATATAAATCTATGTTGTATTGCTATTGCTATTGTTTTCCATGAACAACTAGACCTCTATCTCTCAGGAAAGATGTAATCGAACCACAATAATAAAGCAATTCTTACTTCTCTTCCATTTATTCCTCAGGACACCAGCCATGATTGGATGTTCTTTTGTGGTGAACCGGAAGTTTTTTGGGGAAGTCGGTCTTCTCGATCCAGGAATGGATGTTTATGGTGGAGAAAACATAGAACTTGGAATAAAGGTTGGTGAGATGATTACCACAAAGTGATTCTTCTTACTGAGGTAGCTTAGTAAGAGCTTGTAATCTGGAATCTGATTCTTCCTCCTGGAGCATCCTTTTTGTAAATAAGTGGCTTCTTTCCTTAATATATATATATATATATATATATATATATATATATATATATATATATATATAAAGATTATGTCTCATCTCTTAGTGCTTGGATATTTACTTTATTGTTAAAATTGGGTTGTCTTTTTTTCAGATTTCTTCTCAAGAGTCACATAAGCTATAGTCATAGGCTAACCTTCCAAAGAAAGTGATAGTGTGTGAACATCTCTAGAGAAATATTAGCTAGTATCAAGCTCTGCCTGAGATCAAATCAGTATCATTGTCTAAATCATAGGAATTAATCAGCTATCACTCCAAAGAAGTAAAAGATAATAAATGCTCACTGTTTTCTTCACTCTGAATCTATGGTACACTTTGGTCTTCTAGAAAATTTGTGTGCTCCGCTAATCAGAAAAGCCGAATTAGGTTTTGTTGAGCATTTAGGGATGTGATTAGAAACTACAGTCTCCTTCCATCCCATATATTGGTGACCAACTGTTGAGACCTTTTCCACACCTCAAAGAGAAATAAACAGATTAGGAAATTTGTTTTATTTCAAATGTTTTTACTTCATCTGTCACGTACCGTACCTGAAGGCAGTATACAGCAATACACTGCAATATCGTGGCAGTATGCAGACAACCCTTTTAAGCAGTATATGGGAGTAACTCATTTTCGGGATTTGCTCGAGTTATGTTATGGTTCAAGTCGTTGAACCATAAGTTGAACAAATGAGCTCAGTCTGCATTCTCAGTCACAAACAAATTAACTAAGGTTAGCAGTATAAGATTAATCTATTGTTTGACTACTCCTGGGAGATACTTACCGGACCTTCCACCAACACAGCCAAACTAATGTTATTGCCCAGATCCCATTTGCAATCTGTCATTCATGGTTTTCATTTTTTTTTTTACTGCTTCTTGTTTCTTCCTTTTTCTTCTGTCCATTCTGTTGTGAGGGATTGATATACTTTGATTGACATACTACCAGAGTCACTAGATGGAATAGGCAGCCATATAAAATAATAAATATATACATACATGCATGCCTACACACATATATACTATTGCTATACAAGATGGTCCTCCACTTACAACCAAAATTGTAAGCCCCAAATTTCAGTTGCTATGCAAGACAGTTATTAAATGGGGTTTGCCCTATTTTACGACCTTTCTTGCCACAGTTGTTAAGTGAATCACTGCAGTTAACTTAGTAACATGGTTACTAAGTGAATCTGACTTTCCCATTGACTTTGCTTGTCAGAAGGTCACAAAAGGGGATCACATGACCCTGGGACACTGCAACCGTCATAAATATGAGCCAGTTGCCATACGTCCAAATTTTGATCACGTGACCTTGGGGATGCTGCAATGGTCATAAGTGTGAAAAATGGTCATAAGTCACTTGTAAATTCAAACAGTCACTAAATGAATGGTTGTAAGTCAAGGACAATCTGTATAACAGAAAAAGGCATCCTACGCACTTGTGATACTGAAATAGGGGTAAGTGAATCATGACATTCATTCATTCATTCGTTCGTTCGTTCGTTCATTGTTTTTCTCTCTCTCTTTCTCTCTCTCTCTCTCTCTCTCTCTCTCTCCACATAATGTTGTAATGAAGAACGTAAGAAGTCTTATGAATTTTTGTTCCAGTGAAGAGAAGACTAGGGAAGCATATTACCATCACTTAGCTTCATACATGAACTGATGATGTTACCTAGTTTGGTAATGAAAAGTCTACAAGAAAACAACCAAGCTCCGAGAGCACCAAAGACCCCACAATTCAACCCTGATCTACTAATGTTCTCTTATATTGCAACAATACAATCATTTGAGTGAACAACTGTTACACAGAAGAATGAACAAAGAAGTTCTTAATACAGAGAACAGGACTTTGAAGCTAATGGGCTTCAAGGCCTGATAGCTGCCTCTGACTGATCCTTAGGAGACTTTTCTTGATAATAAGAGCCATTCAATAACAGAAATAGCTTCCTTGACATCCATCTATACCCTCCTGTGCCTTCCACTTCTACAATTTGATATCATTAGATTATACTGTTAGAATGATCTATGGCTAATTACACCCCATTTGCACCCCAGAAAAAAACAAAACAACACTTCTTAATCAGGCTGCCAATGCAGCAGCATTCACCTTCAGTGGCTGAGATTTACTGATTTTTTTTCACCCATAAAATAAGCAAAATGAATGCAACCCACTTCCCACACCAGCCTCTGCTCTCAAACTTACTCATACATGGCAGACTGAAAACAAGTTCCGGCCTTGCAAACAACAGTGGTTATCTGTCTTTAATAGCAATTAAAATGTCAAACTAATCTTCAAGATCATAAATCGAGTTTAAGTTCATAGATTTAAGTTTTCTTACCAAGCAGACTATGAACAGGGGCCAGGCAATGAGAGAGGATACAGGTAGCCCTTGTTTAGCTATTACAGCTGGTAACTTGGCAACTTGGACATTAAGTGAAGCAATCAATAAGTGAAACTGCAACTGTGTTTAGGATCTTATCGATAGAGGAGAATATTTATAGCTCAGGGTTGAGCTGTGGGATCATTGGTGCTCTCTGACCTTGGTTGTTTTCTTGCAGATTTCATTACCACTGCGCTGATGATGTTACCTAGTTTGGTAATGAAATGTCTGCAAGAAAAGCACCAAGCTCAGAGAGCACTTAGGATCTTATTTCAGCTTTCCTTTGCTTTACAGATTTGCAAAGTTGTAAATGCAAGGATTGTTGCAAAGTTACTTTTTCACCACCATCATAACTGTGAATGGTTGCTAAATGAAGCAGTTGTTAAACAAGGACTAACTTTAGTCCAGATAGGTCGGATAGATTGTTAGGAAGCAACTTGACAATAAGGAAGGTTTCACAACAGGATTTGTCACAAGCCATTCTCCAGGCTTATTTGAGAACTCAAATACAATTTCCCCTTGGCTTTCTGCCTCTTAAGGTCACCCATGGGAGACTTCCACCATTCTCCTGCAATTCCTTTTCTGCTCCTCCTGCTCTTCTTCAGGTTCTGTTAAGGATTCAGGGGAAAAAATCACAAGGATAAGAGATTGAGAAATGAGATGGGTTGGTTTTGCTTTGCTGCGGGCACCTGGCCGTTGTGATTTTCTTTTATTTTAATTTAATGTGTTTTATGTACTTGGTCATTCTCGTTTGTAAAGCTCAGGCTAGGATGTGAAGCAAGACAAATCCATTTTTAATAAATCAAGGTCAAGCTAACCATGACTTAGCATGATGTGTAAATTTTATCAGGCATTAAAGACAGAGAGCACTCAATGTTAACAAGATAAACTGAGAGCTCAAACTCGGTGGATTCCAGTGTAGCTTTAACGCAAGGGAGGCACAGCAAGAGTTCCCAGGATGGAGATTTTTCAGCTTGACTTGGTCTCTTTTCCAAAGCAGAAAATGCTACAGAGTAGCAATAATTTCAGTCCTCGTCTATCAGCCTCTGAGGGGCTCTAAATGTTAGAAATGGTTTAACTAACAAAGAGTAAGGAAAGAAAAAAAGAATCTCCCAAATGATACTTCCCATTTTTAATTCTCAGTTTATCATTGAACTGAAGCTACTTCAATAATAGGCAAAAGGAGGCCAAATCAAAGTATTTGCAAGCCATGTTAATTTTATACTTACATTCATTCATAAACATGCCTAGTTCTAGTTCTGCAATATTTTGTGTTTGTTTGAAAACAAAAACACAACCTCATAAAAATTTGTATATATTTTCTGTGAAGTCCTTGGCATTCTCTGAGCTTGGTTGTTTGCTTGCAGAAATTTTGCTACCCACCTAGGTAACATTATCAGTGCTAGTGAATGTGGGGTTTGCCCCCTGTTTAGGTGGCTGGTCCTGCCAATATTGGTGATTGTGTGCTTTTCTGCTTGGTAGTTCCTTGATTAGGATATTGTTTTCTGCCTGATTGTTTGTCTGGTGTTAATCCCTGATTATCTGAGTTTTGGTGTTGTGATCTTTTTGTTTCCTTAGCTTTTTTATTGCCTTTCTGAATGGTCTGTACATGTTGTTTATCTCTATGTGTCTACTGAAAATTGATTTGTCTAAGTTCCATGTTTCTAGGAATTCCCTAGCATTTTTGGATTTTGCTTGGTCTAGGACAGTGATGGTGAATCTTTTAGAGACCAAGTGCCCAAACTGCAACCCAAAACCCACTTATGTATCGCTGGGTGCCAGGTAGGCATGGCCCATTGGGTGGGTGTGGCCCATTGGGTGGATGTGGTCAATTGGGTGGGTGTGGCCCCTTGGGTGGGTGTGGCTTCGGTGGTAACAGCAGACTGGGTAGGACTAAAAAGTTTAATCAATCAATTCCAACTTTGCGAGATCTTTTTTATCCCATGAGAAGTTGAAATTGATTGATTGATTGAACCATTTTTTTTTGTACATGGTGGCAGAGACCTAAAGCAAAAAGGTTTTATGAAACCCAGCTGAAGGCCTATGACTGGGGCGACAGTGTGCGTGCCCACAGGGAGGGCTCTGTGTGCTACCTGTGGCACGCGTGCCAGAGGTTCGCCACCACGGGTCTAAGATGCTGACAGTTTTCCAGTTGAAACTATGGTTAAGTCTGTCCATATAAATATATCTTTCTCTATGTATTTCTAAAATTATTTAATCTAGATACATTAATTTCCAGGTCCATTTGGTGATGGTGGTTGGTTTTCTTGAGTGGAAAACAAAGTCTCCTATAAGTCAGGCTTAGGGTGGCATGGTCGGTCAGCAGTTAAAATCCTGAGCTTGTCCGTTGGAAAGCCAGCAGCCCAGGTTCGAGACCCGAGCACCACATGATAGGATGAGCTCCTATCCTCACTTCAGTTCCTGCCAACCTGGCAGTTCAAAAGCATGCAAATGTGAGTAGATAAATAGGTACCACTTTGGT